CACTGCACGGCCCGGTCCATACTGCGCGGCCGGGTCCACACTGCACGGCCCAGTCCACACTGCACGGCCGGGTCCACACTGCACGGCCCGGTCCACACTGCACAGCCCGGTCCTGTCGCAGGGACGCACTTGCTGCCACTGCCAGGCCCTTTTTATTTTTTTAAAGAGATTCTGTTTTTGTTTTGGTTCTTGGTGCTTAAACACACAGTTTTTAAAATCTGCAATGTTGCTCTTGCCCACGTCTTTTCCCTGTTTGCAGTGCTTCCCATTTCTCCTAGACCTGCCCTGTTTTTTTCCCTTCCTTATCTGTTTTTCTGGTTGGCCAGGGGAAAGAAAACAAAACAAAACTGTTTGCACACCAGTGACTTGTCAGTCATATGACAATGAGCCCGTCCTAATTGCTTCAAGTCTCAGCTTGGGAAGAAGGACCTCGGTTTCCGGCATTTTTTAGTGGGACTGGAATTTTTGGCATTGGACATTTAAGCAACTTAAATTTTTCTCATTCTTATTCGTAGGATTGCCCGAGGAGAGAGAGACTTGACACTTGTCCCATTGTCTTTAAAAAAGACGGAAGGAGGGTTTGGTGTTGTCTCTCTGCCCTGCTGTGGTGTTTGCTTTTTGTCACAAAGTGAATTACCAGATCAAACATATTCTGTGGGTCTCTAAGCCTAGAAAGCTCTTGAGGGGGATGAAATGCAAAGTGTTGCAGCCTTCACACGCCCGCTTAATTGTACTCAATCCTCTCCTGCCTTCCTCCCCCCTCCCCCTGTTTTTTCCCCTCAAAGAAGCTGCTCCCTGGGACGTGATTGAAATTGATCTAAGTAGTTTCCTTCGGGCATTTGGGATTTGGGCAACGGGCCAGGCTTGGCTCCTGGTTGCCTTGCGGGGCTTTTAAACTCTCCGAGAGCTTCCTTCTGGTCCCTGGTGCCCATTAGCATAATGGAGATCTTAAATTAGCCAGATTATCAAAGTTTAACAAGATCTCAATAAATGTGCTTTGCTGTTCCTCTGGAACATCAGTGAAATACATGGCCGCCTCTCTTCCGAACGCTTCGGTGTGCATTGTAACTCAGCTCTCTAATTTTAGGGGGAAAGAGAAAGCAGTGATTGCTCCCCCTCTGCGTGCTGTGCGGGGAGCCTGGGGAGGGGAGGGCTTGCATGCGTTTCGGTAGAGGGTAGAAGGCACACTGCTGGGAAAGCAGCAGCCCTCCACCGGGCTGTGCTCAGGACGGTATGTGCCCTGAAAATGATTTGCTCCAAAGAGCAGTTTGGTGTAGACATGTAATCTGTAGAATCGCCAGTAGTATAGACAGCCTTATATGGACATGCAGGCAGCTGATCCTAGTGAAAATCGGGGCAGACATAATTTAATCCTAAAACGTTTCCTACCATTTTTCTTTTCCAGTGGCTAGGAAGTTTGAGATGGTGGGGAGAGGGGATGCTGATCTCGGCAGTTGTAGCTTCTTGAAAGGTTGGTTGCGGGGCTGCGGGGGGGTGCCCTGTCCACGCCACACTGCATGTCTATTTGAACCAGGTCCTTCCTTGGCTGCTGGTCAGAATTTCAAAAGGAAGTCTCCTTTGGCATTGCGTGAAAGAAATAGGAGTGATGACTCATCCAGTTGTGCTCTTGGCCAGTAGATAAAGTTCTTGTTCCTTGTGGGACTCCCAGCAGGGCCGTGGAGTAATTTCCCCTTGCCTCCCTCACCAGAGCAGATGGCGCTTCTGGAATTATTTCTCCACTCCGTTGTTGACGCTCCTTGTTTTTCTCTGACCACTGTAGAAGTAATTAAAGTTCTGTGGCATGCACGGCCCTGCACTTGGGAATGGCATTCTTTGAAAACACACTGGGTCTCAGCAACACAGGAAATGGGTGGTTTCTCTGCAGTTCCACCGATGTCCCTGAATGCAGACAGCTAGCTGCTGCCTGCTCCCTTGAGTGTGGCCCTGTGTTGTCAGCTGTGAACCCAAAGGGTCCGTCAGAACACCCGTGTGCCGTGAATCCTTCTGTCCTGTTGCGTGGATGTCTGTGGGGTGTGGACGGTGGGGCCTTCCTTACTGCACATGGTTCTTGAGAATGTCAGATAATCTGGTTCAACCTGTTGGGGGGGTATGTTTGTGAGGCTGGTTCTCTTCTGTGGTTACGGGAAACCCATTAGAAACATCAACACTGGTAACTATAACAACAACAAAAAAAACTGGCTGAGTGATCATCACTCATTGTGGCCATTGGTGCAACACTGGGGAAGCCACGAGAGGTTTCACCCTCTGGTTTTTCTTCTGAATTCTTACTCATTCCTAGAAACAGATTTCCTCTAACTTCCATAAGGACACAGATTCTTAATGGCAGAAGGTTTTGCCCCTTGTAGTGACACTGCAACAGTTTCTCTGTCCTTCATCCCTGCATGGTTTTAGAAAAATGTGCTTTTCCTTCTATTTGCGGTAGTCCTAACAGTCACGTGCCTTCTTCTGGTTCCTTTTGCGCAGACCTGCCTGGAGTTGGAACGCTACCTCCAGAGCGAGCCCTGCTATGTTTCAGCCTCAGAAATCAAGTTTGACAGCCAGGAAGATCTGTGGACCAAAATCATTCTGGCTCGGGAGAAAAAGGAGGACTCTGAACTGAAGATTTCTGCTAGTCCTCCAGAGGATGCTCTGATCAGCCCGAGCTTTAGTTACAACCTAGAGACCAACAGCCTGAACTCAGATGTCAGCAGCGAATCCTCTGACAGCTCCGAGGAGCTTTCGCCCCCTGCCAAGTTTGCCTCTGACCCCATCGGCGAGGTTTTGGTCAGTTCGGGAAATCTGAGCTCCTCTGTTACCTCCACGCCTCCGTCTTCTCCAGAACTGAGCAGGGAGCCTTCTCAACTGTGGGGGTGCGCGCCCGGGGAGCTGCCCTCGCCGGGGAAGGTGCGCAGCGGGACTTCGGGGAAGCCGGGCGACAAGGGGAGCGGCGATGCCTCCCCGGACGGCAGGAGGAGGGTGCACAGGTGCCACTTCAACGGCTGCAGGAAAGTTTACACCAAAAGCTCCCACTTGAAAGCGCATCAGCGCACGCATACAGGTCAGTCCCCCAGGGCCCCGGGAGGCCCCCGCTGGTGGCGCCTCTGCCCTGCACCAGCCCCAGGAAGGAGCCGCCGGCTCCGCGGGACGCGGTCAGAGCCGACAAAGCCTCACTTCCTCAGACCATTTTCACCTAGGAATCGGGGCTTTTTGGAATTCAGAGTAGAATCCTAAAGACGGGACATGTGAGCTGCATGAATGGTTAACACGTTCAGATTAAACCAACAAGGCCCGATCACATTTCCTGTGGACACCCAGCCCTCTGCCCAGGCCCACCGTGTCCACCGGGCATCTGTGCACCAGGTCACGTTGGGTGGCCAGAGGGTCGCTGGGCACGTGGCCGGCACGTGCCGGAGCGCTGAGGAAGGTGTGCGACCTGGGCGGGACCCCACTGCTCTGTGAGCAGCAGGGTTGGTCTGGGGTGTTTACTGGGGGTTTCCCCGTGTGTTCTGCAGCCTTTGTTTTCTGATAACACTGAAAACAATGGCTTCTTAATGAAATGTGCCAACTTAGATGAACGTCTCTGGGATAACTGGGGGAGAATCACAGAAAATTCAGAGCTGGAAAGGATGATAGAGACCGAGGTGGTGCAGACTTCTCTTACCCATCCGAGAGCAAATCACTGAGGGGTCAAACCAGGGTCCCTAGGGGGCTTGGTGACAGGCTGGGACTGGGGACCAGGTGTCCTGAAAACCAGGCCCTTGCCTGTCCCAACACACACTCTAGAGTTGGCTTGGCAACTTTGCGGTCTCAGGTAGCACGTTTATTGCACGCAGATTTATCATTTGACCAAAGAAGGAGGGCAGTTTGGTAACTCCATTGCCATTTAGAGAGTGATTAGAAGGCATTGAAATGGGGTTTCCCAGAAACTCATGACTTCAGTTTTGCAGAAATGTAGAAGGTCCCAGAGGAAACTGCGAAGGCTCATTCCACAGGGAAGTGAGTAAGGAACAGAACGGTGCTGGAGAGAAATAGTTTCCATGGAGAAGGCAATAAACCTCTGCCCTGGACAGGGATGTGGGTTCGGCGGGCTGACGCCTCATCTCGAAAGTATTTTACCCATCTGAGTAATTGTCATCGTTGTGCCTTAACTTTGATTACGGTGGCGTGGGCTTTGCCAAACCCGGATCCCTCGGATGACAGTTAGAGGCCTGAGGCTGGGTCAGAGAGCTCGTGCTTGTCCCCTTGAGCTTGGCAGACACTGTCCTTAATCGAAGCGCATCATGTTCTGGAGGCCGCTGGGACCCTGTCCTTGCAGGCCGCCACCGCGCGTGTTGTCGAATCTCCCCCTCCCCCCCACGCCTCAGTGAAGTCACGGCCCGCGTGTCATGTGCTCTCTTCCCAGGAGAAAAGCCTTACAGATGCTCATGGGAAGGGTGTGAGTGGCGTTTTGCAAGAAGTGATGAGTTAACCAGACACTTCCGAAAGCACACCGGTGCCAAGCCTTTTAAATGCTCCCACTGTGACAGGTACGTGCACGAGGGCGCACGGCGACAGGTACAGGGCCGTGGGGATGGCTGAGCAGGTAGGGCAGGCACGTGTGAAGGAGGGTCGGTGCTTTCCTGCCGTGTGCTGATGTTCCTTTCTAGAAAGTCTCAGATAGTTTAAGTGTCCATGTTTAGGAAGAACTGTACCAGGTGTACATGAGAATAGAGTGATTTTATTGAGGCTTTTTGAACCGTTTCCGTATTTGAAGCATTAGAAACGAGGTCAGTTCAGGTTCTCCAAAGAACTCAGGGGCTGCAGATGGGAGACATCGTCGTGCCCATTCCTATAAGTCGGGATTTCCTGTCCCTGAAAGTGTTGGCCAGGACTGGGAGGAGCGTCCCACCCTCCCCTGCGGAGGAGTGGGCTGGCAGCGCTGGGAAGAGGGAGCTGGTCTGGAACAGGGGCACGCGGTGGAGACCTAACTTCTCTGCTTCTGATCTGCCCTGCAGGTGTTTCTCCAGGTCCGACCACCTGGCCCTGCACATGAAGAGGCACCTCTGAGGGAACAGAGAGGTGAATCCTGTGGCTAACAGGCTTCCAGGCTGCAAGACGGCCTGAAGGCGGGATGCGTGTTCCAGCCAAAGCATGCCATTTTGCACCCCGCCCAGTCGCCTCCAGGGCCTCTCCTCGGAAGGTCTTTTGAGGGCTGAACACGTCCTGTGAGACGCGGCGTGGCACCTGTGGTGCGTGGTGTGTGGGTGACCCTGGACTCGCCACTGGTCCCTGACCTTCCGAGCGGCTCCGAAGCCTTTGCCGTGAGCATGCGCCCTGAGAGTGTCCGTGGTGGGCTGGCTGAGTGTTGAGGATCTGTTACTGACTGCGTGATGGGGCAGACTTTTCCCCTTGTGGGAGCAAGACCGCAAGGGACGGAGAAAAAAGTAGCTTGAATGTTCTGTGTGTACGGAGTATACCGTGAGATGAGGTGACCACCAGTCATTTCCTGGGGGGGTGTCTGCACCTTAGAAAAAACAAAAACAAACAAAACAAAAAAAATAAAAAATAAAAAAAAAAAAAAGGAGGAAAAACTTGCAGGGTGGGGGAGTGGGAACTCAGGACCCCGGCGTGGCGAGTGGTCTGGCGTGGGGGGCGGGCGCCCGCCCCCGTCCGTGTGAGAGGAGCCTTTGGTTGTCTGGTGCAGCTACGAAACGTGCAATGTGTCCAGTAGCTTGTTTTACTTGCTACAACAGAGCTCATTTGTAACCCATTGTATAAGCTGTGTATTTGCAAATATAACACAATGATAACTTTTCCTTACAATACAAAAAGTCTTGCATGGTCTGGGGAACTCTGTGCTTTTCCATTTTCGAGTCAGGACTGCGGCTCTGATTCCGGGTGACGGGCAGCTACCATCCCGTTCGTCTGACGCAGCGCCCCCTAGCCACCCAGGCCTGGCAGCACACAACTGTTTGCCCCTTGGATTTTGTAAACACTCCCCTTCCAGAAAGGCATCGTGCAGCATAGGGTTATTTTTTAAACGATTCTGAATTTGAATTTTTGGAGAATTTTGTGATGCCCTTTGAAGAAACAAGACACGTGTTGAGTGTCAGAAAGCCGGGGCAGGGAATTGCCGGTCTGATGTTACATTGGACTGAGAACCTAAAATTTTTCTCAGTTGGGTGGATAAAACCACTAATGCTTAGAAACTGTTTTCTCATGCAGCTATGTTTCTCTTATTTATGCCTTGAGGACTAATTTCTGGTTTTCTAGCTGTTAATGCACTGTTCATCTTCATAATGGTGCCTTACGCAAGTGGCCCCTGACGTGGGGTCTCATACAGGGGTGTGGGTGATGCATGCTTTATTAAGGCTCTTTTTTCACCTGGCATTGTACTGTATCAATGTATAATACAGTAAAAAAAAATCTCCTTAAGGTCCTCCTTCACAAAGACAAATAGATGAAAACTCCCTTAACATGTCAGTATTTGTTCAATATTTTAGACAACTTGACTGTCAGTGTTAACATGGAAAACACATGGTAACTGAAAAATCTGACCAATTCTGCCACCTTGAGACTTTCATGTAGACCTTGCACAACAATTGTATAGATCACACACCGGCTGTATTTAATATGTAATAGTTTCACACATATTAAAGATACAGAAGTATAAAAAAAACCCCAATGTTAATGTATTTGCTTAAGAGGCACAAGTTTCACATATCTATCTAGTTATCTGTTGGTGATACAGAAAGTATACTACTTTTTTTTTAAAAGTGGGCGGAATTCTTGTGTATGTATATTTGTGTGTATAGTATGTGTATGTGTGTA